AGAGACTATGAAAGTAAGTTTGTCATCTCTGACGGATAAGCCCCTTCATCCAACAAAACTCTACCTTCTTCGTCCTTAATGCACTTCACTTGGTCCAAGTCTCGCGCCTTCCTTTCTCGCGCCTTGGCTAACCTGAACAACCTCTTATCCCTACCTCAGCCCTCGAGTTCCTCATGCAAACGACTAAAAGCTGCAGTCTTGGCCGCCGTAACTGCTAACTTTGCCTCTTTCTTAGCCAACTTATAATGCTCGCCCTCTTCTCCTCCTCTTCTACACTTTTCACTAGCTTTAGATACGCTGCTTTCTTGGTTTCCACTTTTCCTTGTAGCTCTCCATTCCACCACCAGTCTCCCTTGTGACCACCAGAGTACCCCTTTGAGTTTACTAATACCTCTCTCGCGACTTTCCTAATGCACTATGCAGTCGTGATCCACATAGCGCTTATGTCCCTATTACTCCTCTAAGCCCTCATAGTCACTAACTTAACCCCCAACTCTTGTGCTTTAGCTTCTGTCAAGGCTCCCCACTTGATCCTATGTTGGCTATACATCGCCCTCTTCCTCCTCTTCCTCGTGATCTCGAGGTCCATGACCAGGAGCCTATGAAGGGTTGAGAGGTTCTCACTCGGGATGACCTTGCAATCCGTGCAAAGACCTCTATCGGACTTCCTGCAGAGTAAATAATCAATCTGAGTCTCGGCTACCGAACTCCGGAAGGTGACCAAGTTCTCCCTCTTCTTCGGGAAACTCGAGTTTGATATCACCAAATCAAATGCTCTAGCAAAGTCCAGCAAAGACGTTCCTCCTCCGTTTCTATCTCCAAAATCAAAGCCAACATGCACATCATCATACTCCCCAAGACGTCACTCCAATGTGGCCGTTGAAATCTCCTCCTATGAAAAGCTACTTGGTATACGGGATACCACGCACCATCTCATCCAAATCCTCCCAGAAACGCCTCTTGACTTCCTCATCCAAGCCTGCTTGGGTGCGTACGCACTGATTATGTTCAAAGTAAAACCTCCAACAACTAGCTTAATAGCCATCAGCATGTCATTCACCCTCTTAACCTCCACCACTAGTTCACGGAGGTCCTTATCAACCAAGATACCTACCTCGTTCCTGCCCCCCACCCCCAGAATACCAAAGTTTGAAACTGCCCACATCTCGCGCCTTATCTCCTACCCACTAGTCTCTTGTACACAAGCTATATTAATCTTCCTTTTCTCAAGAATCTTCACTAATTCTATAGATTTTCCAGTCAAAGTTCCTATGTTCCAAGATCCCACTCTCAGCCTAGTATCTCCCTTAGCCCTCTTACCCCCTTACCCCGCACCCCCTCCCCCGAGCTGGCACCCCCCAAGGACAAGACTTTACCCTACTGTCGTTCACCAAAGCCATTATAATCTACGAGTCACTATGCAAGCACTATCCCGAAAACAAGCGACAAAAATAAAATGAATTACTGAAAAATAATCTACCACTAAAGGTCGCAAAACATGTGAAGAAATAAAATAAAGGAACTAAAGGAAACTATAATCTACAACTAAAGGTCAGACAAACAGGTGAAGAAATAAAACAAGGGGACTAAAGGAATTATAATCTACAACTAAAGGATAGAAAAATAGGTGAAGAAATACAATACAAGAGCTAAAGGGGGCTATAATCTACAACTAAAGATCCCAAGGATATATGAAATAAAGATTCAAAATAAAGATGTAAAGAAGTAGATAACAATATAAACAAGTAGTCAAAGCTATCACTAATGCAATTAAATTGACAATGTTATGGTAAATACTAAGCTACTAACTAAAGATTCAAGAACAAAATAGGCAGGCAAGGGGATACAGTTACGCTAAAATATCAAACTATTAAAATATTAATACAAGAGAGGAACAATAGAACCTAGATTGCAGCAAGGAGGGGTGTTATCCAATCGTAGAATGATTCTTGTCCTCTTCAAGATGGTGAAGAAAATGGCAGTCTTTTTTTATTCTGTGATGTTGAACAAGAACCCTTAATTTCAGATTAAACAAATTATCAAACCTTCTAAACCTCCCAGCAATTTCAAGGAAATCCGGTGACCGGAAGACGGTGATGACGTCAGAAACCGGCGAGAGAGGCGAACCACTTGGGAACCAAGTATTACCAGAAATAATCTTTGTTTCTTGATATTCTCCAAAAAAAAGATAATTAAAGAGGTTTTTCAACCAACTACACCACGAAACCAGTTTATTAATGGTAAATCTGATCTGTTTATGAAAATCAAGAATCTTGATGAAAGTGGCAGAGAAGAAATAGATTGAATGCTCAATCTATATTGTTACTGGGTAATTTCGTGAATGATCCAGGTCCGAACACTGGATGTTGACACAAAAAGAAAAAATTTGCACGATAAAAATGAGCGTCCTACTTCAAGGAGTTCAAAGCAAGCTGGAACAACCGTTTGTAGCTCGAGTTACAAATTGTTAAAGCATTGGCTTTTAATGTTAAGTAATTGGAGTAATGTGATGATAATGACCACAGCGCATATGAGAAGCATGAGTATGCAACAGATGATCAATATCATCTTAAAGAAGCAAACGGACTAATGGTTACAACTATAACCCTATGAACATCTTTTAATGGCTCTATAAGATCATTTCTTGTGATTACATTGTCAACAAAAATATCTCCTCCAGGAGAAAATTTTGCCAACTATTGGCTGATTACATTAACTTTTACTATTTAACAAAAAAGTACAAATGAGTGCCTACTGTACATCACCATGCTTCAAGTATAGTAGCCAAGAAGTCTCGTGCTCGGAGTCCTATGAATATTCTGTACAACCAATATACAATTCTGCACTTCCTCCTCATTCTGCTACTGCGTTTTTCCAGCAGAACGGGTTTTTGCTTGTCCAAGCCTGCACTTGAATCCCTCAGGGAAGAAAAGACTCAGTAGCTCAACAAAAAGAAGACATAATAATGCATTCGTCATACTATCAGCCAGCTAACAGATTATTATGTCTTAATGCTTCTTCCTCAGCTCCTCCTCTCCCACCACTGGTGCTGATATCCGACAAAGAATAGTTATGGTTCCCCTCTCGGTTCATAGGAGGGCTGGCAGTAAATGCTGGTTCAAGGTTCTCGTTGACGCTCTTAGTTGGCCTCTTCAGCCTTTTTGGCCGTTGTTGCATGTCAATGTTTTGTGGGGAGACATCTATATCATCTTCCATCAGTGAGTTTGGTGATAATGATTCAAGATTTTTTGGATTCTTTTGAGGCCTCGATTTTGGGGTTTGCTTGTCGGTGGAACCTTTCCTCTGCACATATAAGATTATGAATCACGACAAATTGAAAATTTTACTATACAGTTGAGCTTGTTCATTGTGCAACAAGAAGAAGCTAAGGCAATTATTTTGAAATGAGTGTACAAGTATAACTTAAGCCAAGTATATGCAGCTACTATAAACCTAAGTTCGTGAAAAAGTCAATATCAGAAACAATATTTGCATCTGAGAAGTAATCACCTTTTTACTACTTGATTTTGCTTTCCCCGGATCAAGAGTGTCATCCACATTCCCAACAGATTCACCGTTTGTAAGATCTTCTAATGATGCATCACCATCCGCACCAATTCGTATGCCTTTGGTGCCACCTTTCCTCTTTTGTCTTTCTTTAGCCTGCTAATGATCCAACACCATATTGCTCAACTAGAAACAAGAAATAAGCTGAAAAGGGGAGGAGGGGAGGAAGGGAAGTAGGAGAACTAATTATCATTAGGAGATTCCGAGCGCTATTCTTAATTCCCACCTGAAGAGGAATTTCCTTCAGTTTCTGCTCCAATTGTTTATCATCAATCAGCAAAGAGACGACATCTTCTGGAGCCAAAAGGTCACCCTGAACATGTCCTCCTGTCATGACAAGCTGTTGCACGGT